GAGATGTCTGCAAAGCGGATTGAAACATTTCCCAAATTAGATGAGTGGAAATGGAAAGCGACGAACGGACGGACGGACGGACAGAGACGCGGACAGACGGAGGAAACGCGATGACCCACTTTGCAAGAGCGCAGAATCGCAGCGCTCTTCAGCACTCACGCCGTCCCTTGAAGGGAGAGGCCGCGAGCGTCGGCTCAGCGTGGCCCACACAAAGGGCGTCTCTCTCACTCTCTCTCTCTCTGTCAAAGTTAAATTACGCGGTGGTCATTTGTCAAGGAGTCGAGCCGCGCTACGGAGCCGCCGGCAATCCTGAGTTCGATTCCCGACTACGGCTGACAGACATCAGTGGCGAATGATATGAGAACCGCACCTGGGCTCCCACCCCCTTCACCAGTTGTTGCTGTTTACAAATACTTTTGTTTACCCGCGGAAACCTCACCGAGTCTCGCGACTCTTTTTTTCTTCAGTTTTTTTCCTCTTCGCAATCGGGGCCGATGATTGTTATGCACATTACACATTGAGTAATTTGCGGGTAATGTTTAAAATTAATGAAAACGTTCACCAATACAACGTGCGCACAATGACCTACACCTACGAATTACGGTTATGCACCCGTAACATTAATTAAGGCGGCCGCTGGATTCGAACCGTGAACCTCTGCCACGACAAGCGGCAAAACGCAAGGCTGCGTCCGTTGTGGTGGGGTTTTTTTTGCTCTCGGTTCGCCTCGCTCTCTTGAGTTGTTGATTAACGTTGGCGACCCGAGTGTTGACGTTCTACAGCTGGCTCCGAGTGTATGGATGTATGTACAGAAACGTGGAAACTTCTTTCGCACCATACGTAGCCAACCGTGCTAATCGGAGGTGCGGGTGGAGGCCAGACGCGCACGTGAGGCGTTGCGTGGAGTTGTGTGTAGGGGGGAGCGATTCCCGCTCACTACCAATAACAGCGGCGAATATTTGAACCGGTCCTGGGCCTCCCCTAGGTCTACTCAACCTAAAATGAGTACCTGGTGCAATGTGTGAACATGACTAACTAGGGAGACAAATGGGTCCGGGCATGCTGCTGGTCCTCGTGCGCCGTGCCGGCCTTTATCGATGCTCGCTCACAGCACTTGCCCCAAAAGTCTATACGGAGTCGTGTGTAGCTGTGTGGATAAAGTCTACTCCGTGTGACTGCATTGAAGCGAAATTAGCCTTTAAACCGAGTATGATCATTATTAAAACGTATTATGTTTTATTATAAGTATACGGCAATAATAATACTAAATATTATCCATTAATAATTAGCATTATTATATTGTTTAGACTTCCGCATTCCTCCCTGCGCGCCGTTTCGGCCCTGCATTGATGCTTCTTTGACCATACTTCACCACGCTGTTTTCAGCGAAGAGATGGGGGCGTCGGGTAATTGAGCGGAAATCTCTCTCCCTCTCTCTCTCTCCCCCGTACTCTTCGTTTGCGACGCCTATCCCAAGGGTGGGCGACCGGCGGCTTCGAAGCCCCATGCGGTGGCCCTTCAAGGACCGCCACCGTCTCCTATTCACCACGTAGTGCATTGCGACTCTTGACATATTGGAGGGTTCTTTTTGGGAAAAAAATCTGTACCGAATTCCAAAGAAATGTCTCTTCTTGTTGGTTTGGTTGCCGACCCCCGTGGTGTATCGAAGATCGACGCGAGGTGCCCGATCCCCCACCATCCCTGCAGACAGTCTATGGGGGGGGGGGGGGCTGGTCCCTGCAGACAGTCTATGGGGGGGGCTGGTCCCTGCAGACAATCTATGGGGGGGGGGCCTGGTCCCTGCAGACAGTCTATGGCAGGGGGGCCTGGTGCCTGCAGACAGTCTATGGGGGGCTGGTCCCTGCAGACAGTCTATGGGGGGGGGCTGGTCCCTGCAGACAGTCAATGGGGGGCCTCGTCCCTGCAGACAGTCTATGGGGGCCTGGTCCCTGCAGACAGTCTATAGGAGGGGGGGCCTGGTCCCTGCAGACAGTCTATAGGAGGGGGGTGCCTGGTCCCTGCAGACAGTCTATAGGGGGGGGCTGGTCCCTGCAGACAGTCTATAGGGGGGGGGGGCTGGTCCCTGTAGACAGTCTATGGGGGGAGGGGCCTGTCCCTGCAGACAGTCTATAGGAGGGGGGGGCCTGGTCCCTGTAGACAGTCTATGGGGGGCCTGGTCCCTGCAGACAGTCTATAGGAGGGGGGGACCTGGTCCCTGTAGACAGTCTATAGGAGGGGGGGGGGCTGGTCCCTGTAGACAGTCTATAGGAGGGGGGGGGACTGGTCCCTGTAGACAGTCTATAAGGGGGGGGGCCTGGTCCCTACAGACAGTCTATAGGGGGGGGGCTGGTCCCTAGAGACAGTCTATAGGAGGGGCCTGGTCCCTACAGACAGTCTATAGAGGGGGTGGGGCCTGGTCCCTGTAGACAGTCTATAGGAGGGGGGGGGGGGCTGGTCCCTACAGACAGTCTATAGGGGGGGGGGGCTGGTCCCTAGAGACAGTCTATAGGAGGGGCCTGGTCCCTACAGACAGTCTATAGAGGGGGTGGGGCCTGGTCCCTGTAGACAGTCTATAGAGGGGGGGGCCTGGTCCCTGTAGACAGTCTATAGGAGGGGGGGCTGGTCCCTGCAGACAGTCTATAGGAGGGGGGGGGGGGGCCTGGTCCCTACAGACAGTCTATAGGAGGGGGGGGGGGGGCTGGTCCCTGCAGACAGTCTATAGGAGGGGGGAGGCCGGGTCCCTGTAGACAGTCTATAGGAAGGGGGGGGGGGGCTGGTCCCTGTAGACAGTCTATAGGAGGGGGGGGCTGGTCCCTGTAGACAGTCTATAGGAGGGGGGGGCCTGGCCCCTGCAGACAATCTATAGGAGGGGGGGGGGGGCCTGGTCCCTACAGACAGTCTATAGGAGGGGGGGGGGGCTGGTCCCTGCAGACAGTCTATAGGAGGGGGGGCCTGGTCCCTGTAGACAGTCTATAGGAGGGGGGGGGCCTGGTCCCTGTAGACAGTCTATAGGAGGGGGGGGGGGGGCTGGTCCCTGCAGACAGTCTATAGGAGGGGGGGGGGCTGGTCCCTGCAGACAGTCTATAGGAGGGGGGGGCTGGTCCCTGTAGACAGTCTATAGGAGGGGGGGGCCTGGTCCCTGCAGACAGTCTATAGGGGGGGAGGCCTGGTCCCTGTAGACAGTCTATAGGAAGGGGGGGGGGGCCTGGTCCCTGTAGACAGTCTATAGGAAGGGGGGGGGGGGGCCTGGTCCCTGTAGACAGTCTATAGGAGGAGGGGGGGGGGGCCTGGTGGTACCGCGAGCATTCAGCGCGGGGTCCGCGCGAGGCGTGCGGGCGACGCGGAGGCGCCGTGAATCGCGAGAGGCCACATTAGTTAAGCGCTTCAAGGGCTTAATTAGCATGAACACGTGCTCGCTATTAAGACAATTAGAGGGCACGGTGTAATTGTCGCGCGCGTGTTTACACTGAGCGGGACAACTCGTTTGATTGCGGCATTTGATTTATAAACCCCCCCCCCCCCCCCCCCAAAGCCGTCGAGGCGCACGTGTGAACGTGCGGGGGTGCGTAGGGAGCGGTGGTGCAGCGGTTAGCGCGCTGCGCTACGAACCCGGCGGACCCGAGTTCGATTCCCGCTCACGGGTGACAACCGGTGACGATTATCTGAACCGATCCCTGGGCCTCCCCTAGGTCGACTCGGCCTCAAACGAGTAGCTGGTGCTACTCGCTAACAGCGCTTGCCCGGGCAGGTTCGTTAAAGGCTATATGGATATGTGTAGCTGTGTATGTGTAGAATTGTAATAGATGTGTGCCTGTGTGTATATATGTCTCTGTGTGCTTGATTTTGTGTATGTGCGAGTATATGTGTTTGCGTTTATACTGTATACGTGTGTGGGGAGCGGTTAATGCACGGCCTTACAAACCCGGCGAAGAGTTCGATTCCTCATGGTCACCACCAGTGGGGCCTCAATGTGATCCCGGTGTAAACATTAGCGCAGAGAAAGACAAAGGCGGCCGCGCGTGGTGCTGCTAGATAAAGGTCGTGCGCCGCATAAGCGCTTGCTCCAACAGCACTTGCCCCAACCGTCTGTGTAGGCTACACGGAAGAGCTTTATCCTTAGATATGCTGTGTACATGTTTGTATGTGTCTATGTACGTGTGTATATTTCCCTGTGTATGTTGCTGTGTGCGTGTCATTTTGTATTTGTGTGTACGTTTGTATACAATTCTGTGTGTCTGCCTCGATGTCTAGGTGTGTAAACTAGGGAGACAAAGGCGGCCGGGCGTGGTTCCGGCCACCCACCTCCTCCTCGTGTGCTGTGTCGGCCTTCATCGGTGCTACTCACTTCCAGCACTTGCTTCTACAGTCTATTAAGACTACATGAGGGATCTTTATCGATGTATATATTATATGTATGTCGGTAAGTATATATATACACTATATATACGTCTGTGTGTGCGCGTTGTAAGGGGTTAGCGCTAAAGCTTGCGCGTACTGAAAAAAAGATTCGAGACATTAACATCGTGACGCTTAGACCGAGAATGCTTGCCCCTCCCCTCATCCCCCACGACCATCCTCCCCCTCCCCCCATCACCCCCCCCCCCCATCACCACCACCCCCCCCATCACCCCCCCCCCCATCACTCCCCCCCCATCACACCGCGTAGCGCACAATAAAGCAGCCCAATTGCGCTGGCTCCACGTGTCTACTGAGGACCTCCCTTACTCTACCTTGCTATGTAGGTGCGTGTGGACAGTGGCCGATCCTGGGCCTCCCCCTAGGTCGACTCGGCCTCAAATGAGTACCCAGTGCGATGTGTAAACATTGCCACTAGGGAGACAAAGGCGGCCGGGCGTGGTGTTAACCACCCACCCCCTCGTGTTCCGCGCCGGCCTTCATAGGTGCTCGCTCGCAGCGCTTGTTAAGGCTATACGGGGAATCTTTGTCTTTATGTGTGTGTGTGTGCATGTCGGTGCGTCCGACAAGTTCCAGAGGACATCTGTGGTCTTTCAACAACTTTATTTGTTCCTCTATGCAACACTCATTTACAAATTTCCGGTCATTACAAACTGACCAAAATTGTTCTTGGATAGAGGATTAACGGGGGGGGGGGGGGGGGGGAGGGGGGTATTTTCGCATCATTACATACATTACAGAAAAAAGTTTAAAAATCCCAAGACATAATAATTTGACTACCAAACTAAAATAAATGGAATTCACTACAGCTTGATGGGCTATTCATCTCTAGAGCGGGAAAAGAACCAATGCCTTCGTAATTACAATGCGGACGGCAGAAGTGACGGTGATTTTAAATAAATTAGCTCAATAAACGGGAAATTCAGCTCCGGGTCGCGGTGGTGCTGTCTCCAATTCCCGGGCCACTCGACTCCACTGCTCCTCGAAATGTCACGCAGCAATATCGCGTTGCCCACAACTTTTTTTTTAATACATGACACCAACAAAAATAACATATAACGACGACATGAGGCCACTCAAAACTATAAGTACGTGGTGGGAAAAAAAATATGGCAACTGAAAACCGGACACAAATGGATTGTCAATTTAAAATGTCAAAATACACTGCGGCAAGCTACATTCTAACAAGATTGACACGAGTACGTGTGCGAGTGTGTGTGTGTGTGAGCGAATGCTGCGCACTGTGTCGGGCACGTGTACGAAATCGTCCTTGTAGGGGATAGCTGTGATTTTTCTCTGTAGTTGCGATATCCGGTCCGCACCACCAATCGCTCGTCACTGGCGAATTCGGAGCCCACGTGCGCGGGAGTTGGTCGCGAACCGCACCGCTGCGTCGGCAGCGGCCACCCTCGCCCCGGCACGCCCCGGGTGGCCTCGCCGCGTGGCTCCCGGCGCGCCTCTCAGAGCACCTGGAACTTCCACGAGGACGGCTGGTCTTTGTAATCCAAACAGTCCGCCGGGTTGAAACCGAACTTCCACGACGCCGCCTGTTCCTTGTAGTCCAGGCAGTCGGGCGAGTTGAAGGGCAGGCCGCCGCCGGCGTACCCGGGCGCCCCCAGTGCCCCCCCGTGCGACGCGGCTGCTTGGCCGATGTGGCCTCCGGCCATCGACGAGGCCATCGGGCTGAGCGTGGCCCCGGCCGCGGGCAGCTGCGGGTGGACGGACGCGGGCAGGTAGGAGCCGCAGTCCACCCCGCCGAAGTACGACCCCGAGCCCGAGTAGCCGGCGGCCGCGGACGCCTGGCTGTACGCCTGGCTGTAGGTCATGGCGTAGGCGGACGAGCGCTGCATGCAGGAGGCTGCCGTCGTGGTGAGGTGGTCGCCCATGGGCGAGATGGAAGCGGGGCTCCAGATGGCCACGCTGGCGGCCGAGGCTTGCGGCGCCGTGGCGCTGGACGAGGGCGGCGTGTACTGGCTGCTCGCCGTGCTCTCCGAGCTGCTCTCGCGAGGCGGAGTGCTCTTCTTCTTGGCCGCGCGCGCCTTGCTCTGCCCGCCGCTCTGCTGCTGCTGCCGGCACTTGGCACGGCGGTTCTTGAACCACACCTGCGCGCCACGCCGCCACACGGGGCACACGGACGCCACGGCCACGCGTTAGACCGGCGGAGTGAGCGTGCGGTGCGACGCGACGCGTTTACGATGAGGTAAGGCCGTCGCCATGGAGTCAGCATTGGGGGGGGGACCAAATCTTCCAGGGTGTCTGGGGGTCCCAACCCAGAAAAAATATCTAAATTTGAAAACGAATTTCCTGCCTAAAATAGAACAAAAATTCACGAACACATGGGATGAACTTTTTATTTATTGTTTACAATAATGTCTAATAGTGTATTGTATTACATTGCTCTGTTTTTACTTTTTTTTACCATTTTTTGTTTCATTGTAAGTAATAGCAGAGATTAGGGATTAATAAAGTACAACTATAACCACAATCATATTAACATAAATCTTTGCATTGATTGATATGAAGACAGGTCCAGATATTGTGGTCAAGGTTTAGCAACTTGTTATTTTTATTTACATAGCATAGCAAACATTTTTTTTAAAAGCAATATATTGTGGGGGGGATGTGTGTCCCCCAATATATATTATAATTACGGCCATGCGGTGGGGCACCGGCTCCTTTCGGGTGGGGTCGGGTGGGGGGCAGTACAGATGTTGGGTGGGGGGGGGGGGCACCGTAGTGGTGACAGACCGCTGAGGAGGAGAGTGAACCTGTGTGGGTTGCAGGGACATCTGGTGGTGTGGCACACCCTCCGAACCACCACCACCACCACCCCACGTGAGCACGAAGGCAGTCTGCTCAATGCGGAGGGGGAGGCATTCTGTGAGGAGGTGGTAACGAGTTTATGAACGCGACCCTCGTTCCGTGACGATGTCGCCTTTCAAGTAATGGAATGCGTTGATTTGGGGGGCGGGAGAGGGGGCGGTGTGTGGGTGGCACGGTGGTTGGCACACCTACGCTACGAACCCTCAGTTCGATGCCCGGGCGTGATTAACACGACTCTGGAAGCGATATCCGATCACGTTCTCGCACCCCCTCCCCCCTTCACCAGTACGCACTGACCAGCGTGGTGAAGTATGGTCAAACAGACGGCAAAGACTCATGCTGTATACATCGTGGTGACAGCCTTCACCCGCTGGTGGATAAAGAAAGGCTGCAAGTTACGTTCATGCCGTAGAGAAACACTCACGAAGACTATGGCGGCAATAGAATGGTGTCTGTCCCGAGAGGATTCGTGAAGCGAGCGGTGTAGAGGCGGAGTAGTGTTTGTTTGCATATATGTCCACGTACACTATGTTGAACTTCTTTCGCACCGTACGTAGCCAACTGTGCTAATCGGAGGTGCGGGGAAAGGACCACAAACTAAACGCAAAATAATCCGTTCTAAAGAACGAATTCGTTTTCAGTTTAGATGTAAAAGTGCCGAGCTCCAGTCGCTTCCTAATGTCGGAAGGAAGAGCGTTCCAGACGGCCGCGGAAGCGCATCCGAAATCGCGCGATGCAGTGGCCACCGTCTTTGTTCGATGGCTCAGCCAATTGCCATTGCGAGGATAACCGGAGTTCGCGTGATGATTCATGCCCCTTGACGAAACCTGAAAGGTATTGTGGTTCATTCGTGGCGAGCACCCAGTGTGTATCGAGCACGACCTTCCGATGTATTCGTTCGACAAGCGGAAGGCAACGCAGCTCGGTATTGGTGAACCCAATGCTGCGTTGGTGAAGGCCGAGGCTGTTTCAAATTGTTTTTTATTGAACCGCATGATAAACTCAATTGACCAGGATAGAGTCTCGATGGATAGAAAGTGTGCCCGAGTTACCAAAATCACAAAAGCAAAATAACCCAAATGCGCTGTCCTACCAGACAGTCTCGCCCCCTTCACCTGATGAAGGCCGCTTGTGTTGTGGCCGAAACGTCGTGAGAATATTATTGTGTTATTTTATTTTATCAATTTATTATTTTATTATCATTCTACGTGACTTTACCGAAAGAACCAAAGAAGATGAATCATTGCAGTCACGAAAGCTTTAAATCGAAACGCAAATGATTTACAACAACACAGCAAATCGAAATCTGCGCCAAAAGCAACGGCGTGTCGCGTGCAATATATTGCAATCGAGCGTAGATCGGCGTTAAATCATCGTGAATTCCCTGTCGCGGGCAGAGATTCTTACTTTTCGCCCGAGACACGAAATGCATGCAGGGTCACTTTTCACGCTCCAATGTGAACGGACAACGATGCACCGAGCAAAACGCTTCGCCGAGGTCGCTGAGCGAGCAGCCATTGTGAGGACGCGCTTCGCGTTTTTAGTTCATGCCAACGAGGTCGACATTTTGTAACAAAACAAAAACAAACTAAACCCTCAATATATTTCGCCTCGGTTATTAACGTGGCCGCTTAACCGCTGTGCCGTTTACAATTGTATGACGTGACCCGTTTTTAGAATCATACATCGGATAGGCGTGTAGCGTTGGGCAGGCGTGTGCGGGGCTGGGGCAGCTTAGAGGGGGCCCTCGCCTGTAACATCGGGGAGTTCACCAGCAGCATTGATTGGTTCAAGCAAAGCCTGACTGCTGATGAGACACGCTCTGTCGAAACCCGTTCGGGTTGTTGCTTGTTGCTGGAACGGTGCCACTCCCCCGTTAGGCCGCGGTCGGGTGATGGTAAGTGTCAACCGGCTAAGTTGATTGTTTTTGCGTTTCGACGTGGATGGACTGGTCAACGGAAGATGCATTTATTGTCGGCTTATTGTTGTTTACGTTGTCTAGAGCGTATCACTCCAGTGACGTCACTAGAGGGCGCTCCTTAAAGTCGCTTCTTGTTTTATCGCCCCGCGCCCCCCCCCCTAAGTGACGGTGACAACAACAACCCACGTGGCACACCGCGCGACTCTCCGGATGGATGTGTGGCTAACAGCAACAAGAACAACACACACACACACATGTTGGCGGGGTTTAAAGAACGTCTCCAACGATTTCCTTCGTTGGGGTAGCGAGGAGGGGTTGCTGATGCGAGGTTTTGCGGAATCCACATTCCCGCCAGGTGAGGACCACTGAGCAACGTAGCTCTTTTTCAGAGGCGACCTGGCCACGAATGGCAACTCGACCAAGTGGCTTATCACGTGTGACGTAGATTCAATCACGTGGAGGGACAAACTGGAGGCGCCCGGATACAGATTCATGCAACCACTGGGAGATCGTGCAAACTCCAAATATACAGCAGGGCGTCAGCGTCGCGATCGAACCCACGAGCTCCTGTATACCAGGCGAGGTAGTTAACATATCCTAGCCACCGTGATTTCCGACACTGGAATCGCGCGGATCCCGTGACGCTCACTCGGAATTCGCCCGAGCTCGGCTAAGCGGGGCTAAGCGGGGCTGAGACTGTCAAGTGCTGGGAAGGCGACGGCTATGCATGCCAGGCACGGGATGGGCTTCTGCGGGGCTACATTCTCACAAACTGAAAAGATAGTTCGCAGTGAGTTTACTCTGCCCCCCAAATACCTCATTCATAACACGGTCGGCAAACTGCGGATTTGCGAGCGAAGTGTTCATAGCAATTGCGGCAATGAGCTCAGAATGGGAGCGTACAACAGCAGATGCTGTGTTGTCGAAATCAGCTTGATTAAGCAATTAAACATATTTTTTTCGGAACAGAAAAATCCGTAATGCAAACAAAACCCCATCAGACAGATTAAGTGTGCGTTGTGTGCGCGTGTGTACGTTATGCAGTTACAGTCCATTATTTAAATGTTTATGCGTGCTCGCCATCCTCCCGGATTATACGCAACGCAACGGTAATCCCAGAAATCGCGATTTTAATCCGAATAAAGTCTCTGCCCGTGTTCGATTCCCAATTCCCATCAAAGCAGCCAACAGCAGCAGCAGCAGCAGCCGCCGCCTTCGCGTGGAGCCTCAGTCACGTGGCGACAACTCCACGAACAATGCCGTGTTGTGTAAATAAATAATGATCGTTTATTATTGGCAGGAGCGCTTTCGTCGAGAACGGCGTTCCTCGTCGGCTGCACCGCCTCCCGTGATGGCAACGCAACGAGCTTTACCTACTGCGGCATTCGCCTCTCGTGTCGAACAGGGGGGCCCCCATAGTTGAGATGGCACGCTCCCGACAAGAGCGCGCGGTAATCCAGAAGTATTCCTTTAACAGACCTCGACTCTGCTGGTTTAGAGCCACAAGGTTCGAAATCGTTCCGGAGGTGTGGTTTTTTGTGTGTGTGTGTGTGTGCTCGCGTAAACGAACGCCGCTTGATGAGGTTGGTGCGGAAAGCCAACAGGCCGACGGACTCTGGAGCGTGCGTTGTGTGCTCTACGTGGAGAGACAGAGCGGCGGAGGAGCCCCGCGTATGTATTCACGCGGTTTGCGTTCACCCACTTGAACTCGCGTGTCTCAAAGAGCGCTCGCCTGCTCGTGCTCAGATTGCGCGCGCGCATTTTTGCTTGGGAGCGGTGGCGCAGCGGTGAGTGCACTGCGCATGTAAAACCGAAAATCCGCGTACGATTCCCGGCAATGTGAAAATAAAACATCAGTAGCTAGTGTCGTGCAGTACCCGAGATTCACGGTTTGATCCCAGCGGCAGCCCTGATTAATACTGCGGCGTGCGCAATAATCCTACTGCGTGCAGTCTGCTTCGCCCACGGTGAACGTTAAAGATCCCCTGACGCCATTCGCAAGAGGAGGCCATTGTGTGCCTCCGTCACGGTTCAAAATCTTCATATTGGAGAATTACACCGCCAAATGTCCCCCAGGTGGAATCATTAAACACAACAACAGCAGCAGCAGCGGCAGCGACTATCACCGCATCTGCTGGCAGACTCACGCCCCGGGTCGCCCTTACAAACGAGACTCATCCTGACCCCTAGAGTTCTCAAGTTCTCACTACGTGGTTACACAACGCCAACTTGAAACTCGAGCAGCGCTACGACTGCAGGACGAGGAGGTGAGGATAATGATGACGACGAGGAGGAGGAGGGTACCTGTACGCGAGACTCGGGCAGGTTGATCTTGAGCGCCACCTCTTCGCGCATGAAGATGTCGGGGTATCGCGTCTTGGAAAAGAGCGCCTCCAAGACGTCAAGCTGGGCGCGCGTGAACGTCGTGCGCTCGCGACGCTGCTTCCGGTTCGGCCCTGTGGGGGGGGGGGAGGAGAGCCGTCAGTCGCTACCTCGTCACTCTTCTACCGCTGCTGCTACGGCTCCCGTGGTTACTCGTCTCGTGAACTTTGCTCACCGTTGAGGACTCTCTACCAGACTGTTCCGTCTCATTCACACCGTGGTCAACCACCACACCGCGGGTCACGACAGCGCACCTACTCACTCATCCACCTACCCACTCACTTACCCACCCGCTCACCTACCCACTCACTAACCCACCCACTCACCTACTCACTTACCCACCCACTCACCTACTCACTTACCCACCCACTCACCTACTCACTCACTTACCCACCCACTCACCCACCCACTCACCTACCCACTCACCTACTCACCTACTCACTCACTTACCCACCCACTCACCTACTCACTCACTTACCCACCCACTCACCTACTCACTCACCTACTCACTCACCTACTCACTCACTTACCCACCCACTCACCTACTCACTCACTTACCCACCCAGTCACCTACTCACTCACCCACCCACTCACCTACCCACCCACTTACCCACCCACTCACCTACCCACTCACTCACCTACCCACTCACCCACCCACTCACCTACTCACTTACCCACTCACTCACCTACTCACTCACTCACCTACTCACTCACTTACCTACCCACTCACCTACTCACCCACTCACCTACCCACTCACCTACTCACTCACTTACCCACCCACTCACCTACTCACCCACTCACTTACCTACCCACTCACCTACTCACCCACTCACTCACCTACCCACCCACTCACCTACTCACTCACACATTGCAGATCACAGCACTTCGACATCTGCTTCTTCCCTCGCACTGCTCCACTTTGAAATTCCCTGTCATTGTCTCTTCACCCAAGCTCGTATGAATATAAACTTGAATCGTGCCATATTCTTGGTTCTTTCGGTAAAGTCACGTAGAAGGGAAACAAAATAATACAAATATATATTTTTTTATTATTTTATTGTTTCCCTTCTACGTGACTTTACCGCAAGAACCAAGAATATGAATCAAAAATTGAATAGTGCTGTTTGTTGCAGGCGGTTTGGCGCTTTGGGCTAGCGGGCCCGTGCCCAGCAACCGCGATAATAAAAAGTAAACACCGCCTTCTGTGCGCGTTGTTGCATTTGCGTAACGCTACCTGTGATTGCTGCCCCCACTTGGCACGCGACTTACGGTGGATCAGGGGGGATATGCGGGGGATCTTTGTGTTCACGCGCCGAGTCGGCCAACACCGCTCGCACCAACACCCTTGCAAGTTCGCGCGCCGACCTACGAAAGCCGCCTGCCTGCGTTCGACTCTCGCCACGGATAACGCCCCGTGGCCGAGTGCTATCAGAACTTGTCCTGCGTCTCCCACTTTCGTCAATAAATCGGTGACCTGGAGCGCTCTGCGCTACAGTTCATTGAATTCATTCAAGTGTCGAACTCGATCGTACAACGAGCGATTGCTGTGGGGTAAAAGAGTACCGGGGAGACAAAGGCGGCCGGGCCTGGTCCTGTATTAAAAGGTGCTTTGGAAACAGCACTGTTGCCAACGTATGTTATATGGGGGAGCCTTGTCTTTGTGTGCGCGGTGTGTCCAGAGAAGCCTCGCCCAATCTCAAGACTCCTGTTTAAGGAGGGATCCCCGCATCGGGCCGTGTGACCACTCCCATGAATGGCGGTGCGTGGAGGGAGCACAATGGAGCGGTGAATGGGAAACACAGGTGGCACATCTGCCGGTAGCCCGGCAGGGTATCCCATCCCATCTGGGGCTGTCCCATATGACCACCTGCCCGCGGGCTTTTGCCAAGTGACCTCAAGGTGCACCTAGCTTGGCCCAAACTCCGTGGTGACGTCATCCGCGAGTTTGTGGAGAATGCTGGCTGTTGTGTGTTTTACGTACGCGTGTGTGTGTGTACGAGTAACTTTGTGTATGAGTTATTGAGTTAGTGTATATGAGTGGGTTGGTGTGTATGAGTGGGTTGGTGTGTATGAGTGAGTTAGTGTGTATGAGTGGGTTGGTGTGTATGAGTGGGTTGGTGTGTATGAGTGGGTTGGTGTGTATGAGTGAGTTGGTGTGTATGAGTTAGTTGGTGTGTATTAGTGGGTTGGTGTGTATGAGTGAGTTGGTGTGTATGAGTTAGTTGGTGTGTATGAGTGGGTTGGTGTGTATGAGTGGGTTGGTGTGCATGAGTGGGTTGGTGTGTATGAGTGGGTTGGTGTGTATGCGTGAGTTGGTGTGTATGAGTGAGTTGGTGTGTATGAGTGGGTTGGTGTGTATGAGTGGGTTGGTGTGTATGAGTGAGTTGGTGTGTATGAGTGGGTTGGTGTGTATGAGTGGGTTGGTGTGTATGAGTGAGTTGGTGTGAATGAGTGAGTTGGTGTGTATGAGTGAGTTGGTGTGTATGAGCGTGTGGACGAGTGGGTTGGTGTGTATGAGTGGGTCGTGTGTATGAGTGAGTTGGTGTGTATGAGTGAGTTTGTGTGTATGAGTGAGTTGGTGTGGATGAGTGTGTTGGTGTGTATGAGTGGGTTGGTGTGTATGAGTGGGTTGGTGTGCATGAGTGAGTTGGTGTGTATGAGTGAGTTGGGGTGTATGAGTGGGTTGGTGTGTATGAGTGGGTTGGTGTGTATGAGTGGGTTGGTGTGTACGAGTGGGTTGGTGTGTATGAGTGAGTTGGTGTGTATGAGTGGGTTGTTGTGTATGAGTAAGTTGGTGTGTATGAGTGTGTTGGTGTGTATGAGTGTGTTGGTGTGTATGAGTGGGTTGGTGTGTATGGGTGAGTTGGTGTGCATGAGTGAGTTGTGGTGTATGAGTGAGTTGGTGTGTATGAGTGAGTTGGTGTGTATGAGTGAGTTGGTGTGTATGAGTGGGTTGGTGTGTATTAGTGGGTTGGTGTGTATGAGTGAGTTGGTGTGTATGAGTGAGTTGGTGTGTATGAGTGGGTTGGTGTGTATGAGTGAGTTGGTGTGTATGAGTGGGTTGGTGTGTATGAGTGGGTTGGTGTGTATTAGTGGGTTGGTGTGTATGAGTGAGTCGGTGTGTATGAGTGAGTTGGTGTGTATGAGTGGGTTGGTGTGTATGGGTGAGTTGGTGTGCATGAGTGAGTTGGTGTGTATGAGTGAGTTGGTGTGTATGAGTGAGTTGGTGTGTATGAGTGGGTTGGTGTGGTGTGTATGAGCGTGTGGACGAGTGGGTTGGTGTGTATGAGTGGGTCGGTGTGTATAAGTGGGTTGGTGTGTATGAGTGGGTTGGTGTGTATGAGTGAGTTGGTGTGTATGAGTGAGTTGATGTGTATGAGTGAGTTGGTGTGTATGAGTGAGTTGGTGTGTATGAGTGGGTTGGTGTGTATGAGTGAGTCGGTGTGTGTGAGTGGGTCGGTGTGTATGAGCGGGTGGACGAGTGTGTCTTTGTGTTGCTCAGGAGTGTTTCAGTGGCGAATATTTAATCCGCTCCCGGAACTCCTCCCTGGCCGAGTAGCCGGAGTGGTGCGTCAACATCAGCACGGGCAGACGTTGGCGGCTGGGCGCGGTGGTGGTGGACGGCCTCACCTCCTCTTTGTGTGCCCTTAGATGTTGTTCGCACTTGCCCCCAGCAGCCTGTTTGCGCTACACGGGGGGGTCTTTGCCTTTGTTGCTATCGGTTCGCGGTGGCGCTTGCGTTCGATTGAAGGCCGCGGCGAGTTTCACCAGCACTCATCCTGTACCTCCGTTGGGTCGACCTCGCCTTACACGAGTCGACAGATGTCAACACTGCCGGTGCATGGCGGTTGTTGTTGTTGTTGTGCGTTCAGTAGAGTGGAGACGGCGCTCTATTGGCTACACTCGGCTGCTATAACCTCGCCTCCTCTAAGAGTTCGAGGCGTCGTAGTTGTCCTGCACTCAGGAGGTGCAGCTTCTTCGCTTGCTATCGGCTTCAGCGTCACACTCCAATGGAGGCGAATTGGCCAGGGTCATTGTTGACGGAGACAGTGGGAGTGTTGTGTTGTTGATGCCAGAAGTGTCACAGAGTGATGTGCAGCCCGTGACCGACCCCCTGCCCGAGTTCTGACCCGTCAACATCCGCGCGCCATCATTTTGGTGGCCCGAAACGAATTCCACAATGTTGGCTTTCGAATTGTTAGATTTTTAAGCGCAGATCGGACAAATGTCGGCTTTCTACTCCTTCTAGAACGTTCTCAGGATGCTATTACATCAGCCACTTGCGCATCAAGCGACCACCATCTCCATGTGCGCGTCTTTGGTTTTCTTTTTAGTGTGGGTACCCCTAGATCGACTCGGCCTAAAATGAGTACCTGGTGCGGTGTGTAAACATCGCCACTCGTGAGACAAAGGCGGCCGGGCGTGGTGCTGGCAACCAACCCCCTCGTGTGCCGTGCCGGCCTTCATAGGTGTTACTCGCTAACAGCACTTGCCCCAAGAGTCTGTGAAGGCTATAACGGGGGTCTTTGTCTTTGTATGTGAGCACACCCAGTGTTTTACAAATACACAACATGCACACAATTTTTTTTTATGTCTTTGTTATAGTTTCGTGTGACCATTAGGGACACTAAGGCTACACATACGTGACGTTAATCGATATTGTGGACTGAATCGGTGATGTGTTTTGACATTTTGGTTTGTAGAAAAAACATTACAACATAAAAACGCGTTTTCGTTTAAAACATATAGCAACCCTTACTATCGAACTATAATCGTCTAGAACTATAATTGTATATATCTCGTAGCTCTGGTAGCTATAGCGTATCTTCATGCTATGTCTTAGTTTAGGAAAAACCCAATCGCGCCATGCCAACCAAAACGTGTCCATTGCATCCAATTCCCGAAGCCTTGGATCGTCACTTGATCATCATTTGACGAACGTATTGACTTTGCGGATTCCCCTCTGCGAAGTGAATCAACTCGACCATCCCGCCTACGGCGCTCGCACGCTCGGCACGCAGATCCCAACGTTCGCCGGACGTTCGCCTGACCTTCGCCTAACGTTCGCCTGAC